ATTGATGTATTTCTGTTAGAATATAATTTTTTAGACATTTCTTGAAAAAAATTTTGAAGGTGATAAAAGCTTACTCACAATATCCTCAAGTAATTAGTGGTTTAAGGTGGTTTTATTTCTCTGGAAATTTATTTGGAAGCTGCCCTTAGATGATGGGAAGACTTTAGGGCTTAGTGCCAGGCAGTGATTGATCCCCTTCTTTGACTGTGTCTCACCTGCTCATCTGATGTGAAATCTTTGGAGAAGCTTTTGATTGTATAGACTAAAACTAAAGACATGCATGGAGTAGGTAGCCGTGAGTCCTGCACAATGTAGGGTAAATGATGGCCACCAAATCTTCCTGCCTATGAGGTCATTGAAGGAGATGCAGAAGCCCTGGAGGTAGAGGGTTTCTGAGCCACAACCATTAAGGAGAAATCATCCTCTGAGAGGAACAAATAGTATCCTGTCTGTCTTGGTCTAGCCTGTGTAGGGTCAAAGGCAGGTGTGTAATCACTAGTTTTTGATTGAGAGCATTGGGAAAATGAAGGCTTCCAAAAAGGTAATAGGTAGGGAAGCAGGTTATGCAGATGCAAATGTCCATCTCATCTTGAGAACCAGCCTTGCCTTGGTGCAGAGACTCCCTAGCATCTATCTTCTTTTTGGTTTCTTTCCTTTGTGGATAGGCATTTCCCAAGTAGTGAATTGGCTTGTTTGGATGGCATAGCCCCTTTAGCCAGCTTTCCCTGTGAAGGTGACAGACTTCCACATGGAGATGGTGCTGGTGGCTTCAATGATTGGCATGGGTGGAAGCCCTTGGAGATGTATCAGGGTCTCTGGCAAGCACTGCATGGGTTCATTCCTGATTTCAAAGGGTTTAGAAATGGCAACCAGCCTGGGAACTTGGTCTACTTGATGAATATATGCTTTGGCCCTGTGTGTATCCATAAATAATATCCTGTTTGGAAATATTTTAATGAGTAAATGATCTTTATTTCTAATTTTAATCTTGGCATCTGGTTTTCTTTTCTTTTTTCTTTTTTTTTCCAGAAACACTGGTCTGTTATTGCTTAAAGTTTATGCCTAGGTTTGGAATATAGGCTGCTGAGAAACGTCTAACAGGGCTTGTCTGTACTTTCACACTGTTCATTTGGCCACTTGTCTGCCTTGGTCCACTCCCCCAGGTGTGTTGCGCTCACCGGACTGTCTAAAACAGTCTGTTTATTTGAAGTCCCCTGTTCTTTAACAGATAGAGTGTTTGCTGGGCCTCACATATTGCTGGTGCTTGAGTATATTCACAGTGCTTTTCATCCTGGAAAATGGTTGCACAACTATGTTCTAGATCAGCAAAGGAACAAGAATATCGGGCCATTGTCATCCAGAGGAGGTTTGCACACACTTGCTCCTGTCATTCTCCTTTCCTACCTAGGACAGATGGAGTTTATAAAGGCTAAACTGGACAAATGCTGGCAATTGGAAACACACCCACATGAGGTTTCCCCTTTGCATTGTGCAACCTAACATTTCCCCAGCGTCCCTTTGCTGTCTGCTGACTCAAGTCTGCTTCCCGTACTTTCTTCGTCTTTCTGACATGCCTGCTGTTGTCTTTGCATGATGATTTTCTTCGTGCTTTAGAGTCCTATAGCTTGAATTTTCTGATAGTCTATAGGAAGTGTTTTTACTGCGGTCATCCACCTTTTATTTAGTGAACATGAACTCTGTTCTAGGCAATGCACTGATGTGCATAAGATACAGAGAGAAGTAATTAGAATTGGGAAAAGGGTAATAGTTATGTGGATAAGTATAATCTTAACTCTGTAAATAGCAGTAGCAGTGTTTTGCTGCACAAACCTGGGGTGTTAAAATGTGGAAAATTCAGTTGACTTGTAGGCTCTTCTGTTATATTCAGTACATTTAAAACGTATTCTCTAACAGCTTCATGTTGACATGGTAATGTCTGGATGGAGGAGTTTTTCCATCCTTAAGAGTAAAAGGAAGTGTTCATGATTAGCAGCATTTGACATAGAGAGTTCACAAAGTCTTTGGAGAGTTGAAATTGAGTCATTCACCGTTGTGGCTGAGTGGCAGGGCAGTCTTTATAGAGGGTCAAGTTCCCAGAACTTCACATGAGTGAATACAGTCTAGGCTTTGGCAGCCGGCCGCTTTCTGTGCTTGGTGGACAGGTTCATGAGATTTGATACTTTCATATCTTTCCTTGAAAATCTGGCAAGTTTTAGCAATCCTTCAATGGCTGACCCATTTCTGTTGAACTGCTGTTGCTAGACACAAGTGAGATTGTCCTGGGCCAATTGCCAGAGAAGGTATTTCACTGATCCTTTTTTTTTTCCCCTTTAGTAATTCCAGCCTAACTTTTGAGCCACAATTTATGCTTTGGAAAGAGAAATGAGCCACTACTCTTTGTGTTTATTACGTTGTACTGCCCTTAAAATGTGGAAAACGTCCCCAAGTGTTTGTTGTGTCAACCAGAGCACAGTCAGTAGGACTCAGATAATTATTCCTTTAGTTGACTCATGTAAACAGAACCTTTGAGAATGCTCCTGCAGAAAATATAGAGTCCTTGTTGGTTAGACAGAAGGTTTGTGAGAGCAGTGGGACTCAGCGTGTTTTATTCTTGGCTAATCTTTTTTGGTCTTTGCTTCATGCTTCATGTCTTTGGGGCCCATCTTTGCTACCTCATGCTGAATAAGTACAATGGCTGCTAGCATTTTGTCTTGGGTGTTGAAGAATTGCCTTGCTGTAAATGTGCTGGGCTTGGGAGTCAGAAGTCCTAGATTGAAGCCCAAATCTTTTTAGGATTCTGACTCTGTGATTCAGCTCAAGTTGCTTGCATTTCTATTCTGAAAAATGGGAATAATAATTGCTGCCGGTCCTACCCACAGTCCAGCCACTCTCTACTTACAGTGTAACCTGATGCTCTGCCATGGACTGCCATTCTTGCAGAGAATGGATATGGTGAACATCTCAGATTTCTGGAAAGGACTCTGCCTGTTTGAGGACTATTACTCAGACTTTCCTCCTCCGTGGCTTCTGTGAGCAGCAGCAGCTGTCTCAACCCACCTCCAAGGCAAACTGGGCAACTTATGGGGCCAGTTTATTACAAAGTTCCCCTTTTTCTAAAAAAAAAAAAAAGCTGAAATGTATTCTGGTAACTTTCAAAATAATTTTCACTCTTTGGTTCTAGTTTTACAGAGCAATATGACACAGTTCAAATCGGGGCATTTCATGCATTAGAAGTTTATAACTGAGGAAGGGGTCTCACCACTGTGTTTCCTCTTTTTTTAAATAATTCACTCCAGTAAGTAAGTGCTGATGGGTGCAGCCTCAGGCACAAAAGGCAGCTATTGTTTCTCCTCCTGTTCTCTGGAAGTGGAACCAGAGGACATACAACCCAAATAGAGCTGCTGGATAGCAAGGAAAACCTTTTTAACTCCTTAATGTGCAAAACCACAGTGGTTTTAATTTTATTTAAGATGCTTGCTAGTATAAACAGTGTCTGGATTTATTGATCCATAGTTTAGATGGCCAAACAGAATAGGCAAAAATGAAGGTAAAAAAATAACACAACAGAGACAAACACTTCTAATTTTTTATGTAACTTTTTAAGTTTAACAACCATCAAGTCAGAAAAGCATAGTTGCATATGACAGTGGGGAAAATGGTGGCAGTATTTCAATATCTTGGCTCGGGCTACCTATACTTATTATGTGTCTATTTTTGGAATGTGCAGTAGTAGATTTGTGGATATGTGATTCCAAGGAAACTATCATTGTGGGCGGGGTTGGGGGGCTGGGGAACATGAATGTGCAGGGCTGCAGAGTTCAGAACTAAACCACAGATGAGTGATTATTTTTTTTGTGTCAGTCCTGGGGCTTGAACTCAGGGCCTGGGCTCAGTCCCTGAGGTTTTCTACTTAAGGCTAGTATGATACCACTTTAGCCACAGCTCCACTTCTGGCTTTTTGAGTAGTAAGGGTTTACTGGCTATGAGTCACTGGCACTCGCTCTTGATTCATTTTTTCCCCATTTGCCACCCAACTTCTACTACAGACACATTGCCTTTCAACAATCTAGTTTTTACTTTATACTTAAATTAAGTACATTCATTTTTACCTTGCATTTTAGGCATCACCGGCTTCAGGAAAGCATATTTTTAACAAAGTCAAGGGCTGGAAAACAGCAGATCACACAATGATTTAACAACAACTGATCAAGACATAGGCCTGACTGAGAACTTCTGAACTATGTTATGAGTGTGCAAGAACTTAAAAACTTTGGGTTTTGAAATTCCTTTTGATTATTTTTTGACCTTGCTTGGTCAAAACCACATGTAATAAATCAATAATAAGACACTTTCTGTATTAATAGACATACTTTTCTGAAGATTATCCCGAAGCCAATTTTCACTGTCTTTTGAAATTTGATTCACAAGTTTCACACAAACTTGCATGAAATACCAAAAGGAATACTTGATTCCTAAGTAAATGAATCATTAAGTAAATTCCTCTCAACTTTTTGCTGTCATGATTTTAGTGACCATTTTTCCAGCTCCTTGGGTTTTGATATCTTTTTGAATTTAGCTTTAAAATAAGTTAGAGTAACTGAAAGTGAATAACATGCTGCTAGAATAATTGACTCACTCATCATTTCATTCCCTAATTATGTCTGGGTTGAGTCCTCTATAGTTTCTAGTTCATGGTCATGCGTCTATGAGACACACGTGGTTTCAAGTTGATTGCCTTGTGAAGGAGAAGGGAACAACGGGTGCTCTGTGGGCTGCACATTCCTGCTGGCCTCCTTTTCCAGCTTCATTTAGGCCTGTGCTTGTGCATCAGTGTTCCAGAGCAATGGCTGGCCTAATGCAAATTGAACTATTGATCCACGGGGCTAGTATTTGAAAAAATATCACATATTTTAATGACATATAAAACACATGGTAAATGTTGTATATGTGTGTGTGTGTATGTTTTAAATCTAATCTTTTTGTTCAAATTCTTTCTCCAGGTGGCACTTTTCTGAAGTTATTTGTTGAGAATTCTCAGCACTTTGCAGATATTGCCAGCAGTTTCTAGGTGAGTAGCAGCTTAGTTTATTAAAAAGTACACCGTTTCCAACTTTTGGATCCTACATGGTCAGCACAAGTTTTTATTTTAGCCTAGAAACACCCTTCAGCTAAACATCAGCAAAGTGTTATAAAAGACTGAAGTTTCATAAACAGTATTGAATTTAATGCTATAATTCCTATGCTTCAACTCTGACATGCTCTGTTCTGTCACCATTCATGAATGAATTTTAAAGCTCTTTAGCTTTAAAATTTAAAGTTTTGAATTTAATTTTTTTTGGGGGGGTCCGGTTATGGGGCCTGAACTCTGGGCCTGGGCGCTGTCCCTCAGCTCTTCAGCTCAAGGCTAGCGCTCTACCACTTGAGCCACAGCGCCACTTCCGGCTTTTTTTTTTTCATTTTGCTTATATGGTGCTGAGGAATCAAACCCAGGGCCTCAGGCATGCAAGGCAAGCGCTCTACCACTTGAGCCATCTTCCCAGCCCCTGAATTTAAATCTTAAGTTGTCTTTTCTTTTGAGTTTCTCCATGGACCATGCCACCATTTGTTATCATTTCTCTCAGAAAGGGGAAGAAGAAACGGCCAGTTCAAATTACCCAATTTTATTACTTGAAAGAAAGATAGCCAGGGTAAAGGCTGGGAATGGTTCAGTAATAGATGATTTATGATTGGGTAGACTTGAATTTCCAGAAAATATTACCAGTAGGGGTTGAGTAATCTCCTGAAGTATGCATTCAAGCAAATCAAGGCAGTGGGAAAGGAATTAAATATGGTCCTTATAACTTGTAATCTACTTCTTCTCAGTAGGTGAGGCCTGTTCACCCAGCTTCTCTAAGAATTACATTGTAGCCTCCGGGATGCACTCAGACCAAAGGAGCTAGGATGGACTCTGGACATATCATCCAGGAGGGTCTTCTTGTGCAGGAGACTTACACAGAACATTTTTAAAGATATATCTTATTGTAAAGGTCACCATTTTGGTTTAGATTTTGAGGAAAGATGGTTGATATGTAATATTTTGGTCTGCTGATTTTTCAAGTTTTATTAAGTTGTTCTAGCAGCTACTACTGATTAGGTTAGGAAACTTTGACTTTCTTTAAAAATGAGAACTGTAAGCACTTTTGAGTTACAGAATTAATTGAGTAGAGCTCTTTATCATGGGGAAGATGTGGTAGTGTCCTGAACAAGCTAATTTTTTGCACCTTATCAAACTGAGAGTATTTACATTGCTGTTCTATACTTATTTAGTAGTGATAATTTTATTTTCTATTAATAAAAATAATTAATATTTCTGGGCACTGGTGGCTCACACCTATCATCCTAGCTACTTAGGAGGCAGAGATCTCAGGGTCATAGTTCAAAGCCAGCCAGGACAGGAAAGTCTGTAAGACTCTTATCTCCAATGAAAAAAACAAGTGGCACTATGGCTCAACTGGTAGAGTGATAGTCTTGAGGATAAATGAGCTCAGGGACAGTGCCTAGGGTCAGCAAAGAATAAACATAAAGATGTATGTATGCATGTATGTATGTATGTATGTATGCTGTTTCCTAGCGTAGCGCCAGTGACTCATGCCTGTAAGTCTATCTACTCAAGAGACTGAGATCTGAGGATCACATTTTAGAGCTGGAAGTAGAGCTATAGCTCGAGTAGTAGAACACCAGCCTTGAACAAAAAAACTAAGGGACAGTGCCTGAGTTCAAGCCCAAATGCCAGAACAAAAAAAAATATGTATTTATATAGAATCTATAACTTATACATTATTATTATAGTACTACATATTATATAGAAATATTTATATTCTTATACATATTATATAATCATCTATACCATATTATTATAGAATATAATATATAAGATAAAATACATTATAAATTTATGTATATGTAATATGTTTATATATTATATATAATGTATTATATATACTATATATTATAAATAACACACCTCTTTCTATATGTTGAAAATAAAGGATTTATGACATATAATTTTTCTGAACCCAAATATTCATGATTTTACTTAAAGTTTAGCCCTGTCAACATGGGCTTGGCATTGAAGTCTGGGCTGTTTCTATTGCTCCATGAGTAAAGGTATTCTCAGCAGGGACAGGTCTGTGTTGTTAGGAGTGGCCACTATTTGCCTAAGTGAGAAAAACATATCTTTTCCCTTGTTGCTTGTCATGTAAGTACTTGTGTGAAAACTCGAGCCAGGTGGATCCATGTTTCCTATGTGAGGAAATCCAGTGAGGGTTTGTCCTTCATTGTGAGTTCTCACCCTGGATCACTGCCAGGCTGGCTTGTTTAATCTTATTCTGGGGGAAAGCCTGGTGAGCTCTATAGTGCTCAGTCATATTCTCCCTCATAATCGTCTTCTGAACAGTTAGCCCCATAAAACCAACAACATTCTTTATGTTTTTCAGGATGTTGTTTTCTAAGATGTGAATTCATCCCATACAAATACTCAAAAAATACATATATATGTATATATATATATATATATATATATATATTATTTATAAATAGCCATTCTGAACTATGGCCTCTGACTTGCAGAGAATTGTGGCCTGTTTCTTTTCTTTTCCTTTTTTTTTTTTTTTGGTCAGTTGTGGGGATTGCTATTTCTTGTTACCTACATTGTGTCTCAGCTTTCTCTTGTGCAGAGGGAGTGATTGCAGTTTGAGGAGAGCCTTGACATCAGCAGTACTTGGCAGATATCCCCCTCTACTGGACACATGGGTTGGAATTTCAGCTGAAGTGAGAGTTATCTGTGTGCCCTGATAGTTTCTGTACCCACCGGTGCTCCATCCTCTTACATGGGGGTAGTCTTTCTCACTGGTTTGAGAAATTTGCCAGAATTCTTCCTGGAGCCTGTCACTAGGTATTAAGTAAGTGGATTCAGAGTCTGAGGAGCTACTCTGCCAGGTGTTCACTGCTCTCTTTAAGCAAACTCTTCCCTTCCTGCACCTCATTGGCAACAAAAGGCAGCACCAGCTCTGTGGGAATTGTAGGAAGGCATGGAAAGTGTGAGTTCTATGTGGGGTTCACATAAAGGGACTTCTACTGGCAGACTTTTCTTTTTAATATAGTCAGACTTTCTAGGCTCAAATCCCTGCTCCATATTTTAATTACATGCATGACCTTGAACAATCTACTGACACGCTCTTTGGCTCTCACTTATCTCACAGGTTTCAAAGAAAGACAGGGATACACTATATGTAAAGTAGGGTGCAGGGAACTAACACAGAATGAATGTCAAGAAATATGCTTGTAAATTTGTCAGGACACAGGAAAGGAGGAAGAGAATCAATTAAAAGTTTTTTCCTTGGTTTTAAAGTTCTTCCAATTTAAACTGTGGCTTACTGAGCTGCCTTTGATAACCATGTTGTGTTAGTTGACACCAAGAATAACAATGTTATGTCTGGACTGGGATTGCCACATGTTTATATATGCCCCTCTTTGATCATCCAGATAATCTGTATGTATATAGAAATGTCACCCTACTTCCTAATGGCCACATTTTTGTATGTATTTTCTGTGTCTCACATAATTGAGTTCTTACTCTGCATACAACTTTATATCCAATTACTTTTGCCTATTATAGAAAGTTCTCCATGTTGTTTAAATTTGCTTGTAAAAAACATTTCTGTGGTTTTAGCAATCCACTCTGGTGTATATAGAAATTGCTTCAAACTTTCTTCTGTGTCTGGCACTTGAGTTGATTTTTATTTTTACCTATTAATTATAAACTTTGAATGTTGTTTCATGTGCAGCATTCTTCAGTTATAAAATATTCCCAGTAAAGCTGGGGTATTGTTGATTATATAAAAGAATGCTTGTTTTATAGCACTCCGTTTAATAAGGAACTTTCAGATTCTTAAATGACAGTTTATGATGTGAAAATAGTATTTAATGTTAATTTTTTGCTGATATTTGTGTATGTGTTTCCATAAAACTTTATATACAAAAAGGCAGCTGCCCTGTTTGGCCCATAGGCCATAATTTGTAAGCCCTTGTTAGGTAACAGGTGGAAAGATGGCAGGAGATCACAGAAAACAGCTGCTGTTCATTCCTCTCTCTCTTCTTCTTATCCCTTCTAGGTTCCAGTTTCAATCTTCTCAGGAACGTTAGATATTTTTCTTATTAGTTATTAAATTCAAGACTTTTCATCAAGTGAATAATCATTTGCATTTCCTCCCTTATAAATTGTTTGTGTTCTTCCATTCTAGTGAAAATTTCATTTATGATGGTGATAATTTTGACATGTATGTGAAAATCATTATGACTTTGTCCCATTTTCTTAGCATATATAGCAACATGGATTAATTATCTGCTCAGTAATTGCGTATAAAACAGGAGGAGCTCAGTTGTGGACATGTCAGAGACCATAGAAGTTCTATGTGGCTTCTTGGTGAGGCTGCATCATGTGGAAATTCAGTCCTATGCAGTAAACACTGATGTCCCATCTCACCCAGATTTGTGAGTACCCCATCCTTGCTGTCTTCCATCATATTTCTTCTAATTTCTCTCTGTTGTCAGGAAGAGAAGAATAAAGAACAAATGTAGCCTCAAGGAGTGCTTCTTACCTGCTTCTATGTCTGTTCTGCTGGGTCTTCTCACTCTAACACCTTCAGTCTGCCCCTTAATCCACTGTTTCCAGGCTCCCATTCTCCCTCATCTCCTGGCATTCTCTTACTAATCTACTGCATACCTTCAGCTGCCATACATAGGCCAGACCTCTCATACCAAACCTCTGTTCTAGGCGGTAGACTCCTAAAGCCAACTGTGTGTTGGATGTCTTCCCCTAATGTTCCACCAGCATTCCTGAGGCACATGCCCCACCCCCCCAAGTGAAGCTTCTTTTCCGCCTTCTGCATCCCTGTCTGTCCTGCCTGCAGGCAGCCTACTTACCCTAAGTAAGTTTATGTTTTCCTATCTAGATTTACTCTTACCAAATGGATAAAAATCTGATTCTTCTAAAACCAAAGTTAATATTTGGCAGGGTCTGCTATGCTA